GGCATCACGGTGGAAGACGTCGACTAAACATGAATTTACATTTTTACTTAGAATTTCGCGAATTGAATTGGAAGTGTTTACCGTCGCCACAAATGGACTTCAGCATAATGTGAGCAGTGTTGAGTTCCTAATACAATTGGCCAAATTTAACTAATTTGCCATGGGGGTTTAACTTCCCAGATCACGCCCATGTTTATGATTTCACATTAGGGACTTTAAGCAGTCAGGACGGCAACGCCACGGAAGACGTCGATTAAAAAATGAGTTTCTACTTTTAGTTAGAATTTCGAAAATGGCTGCATGTGTTTACCGTCTCATAGGGCGCCAGACCTCAAACTCAACATAACGCATAAAAGTAGCGTTGAGTTCGAAATGTAAATTAGAATAATTTGCCGCCGCGGTTTCGCTTCGCAGACGACGAAAATTTTGTTGATTTCACGGGTTCTGTCCTCGTGTACCGGTTCACAAGAGCCAATACAAAAGACCAAACAATACACAATAGCTAACCGATAACTCCTAAACAAAGAAAGAACAATGATAATTCCCTTGTGAACCGGTACACCAGGACAGAACCTGAACGACTTTACTACAAAGCGAAGATTATATTTTGGCGTGCACAGAAAGCAGAGGCGAAAGCGCCAGTTGCTCGACATACCTGCGTGGCCCGTGCGTCGAAATAACTTCACGGGATTGGCAAAGTTTCAGTCACAGGCAAAAGGCAAAGGTGATCTGGGCAAATTTTGTGCTTTTCAATTTTTTCAGGAAAAGCAGAGCATGCTAAAGAGCTTTGAAATATAATTCTGAAAAATAGTTCATCAAAGTCAGAGTTCTTTTCTTTATCACAACCTGTATCACACGTTCATTCAATAATTTTGTAGGGGTAAGAAGGTCAATGCTTGTTAAATTTAATCTGTTTGAGAAATAATGTTTCAATACAGAATGTATTTCACACCTTAACCTTTCCACCTTCTCTGTAGTCTGTCCATGTTGTTTCATCTGTGGATAATTGTAGTGTGTAATTCTTCACCCACTGATCTGCTTTAGAATTCCCTTGTGTAGACACAGCACAAATGATATGAAGTGTCTGTAGATCAATCTGCAGATATGGGTTACTGTCACTTGTTCCTGCACACCATGATGATCCTGGTGTGTAGTTTAGTCGACCATTCTTGGCTGGTGTGCTGGAAGAGGAAGCACTTATTCCACTGTTTGGAATTCTTCCATCTTCCATTCCAAGATTGAACTCAACGCAACCTATAAATTGAAAAAAATGTCTAAAGATTGAACTCAACACAACATATAAATTGAAAAAATGTCTAAGGCATTATAAAAAATAACAGGCAAAAATAATTAGTAATAAACACTACAAAGGTTTAAAGGGGTAAAATGACAATTCAAAAAAGTGAATGGCCACAATCTGGCTGACTCTTTTAGTCAACAATCCCCCATACAAATGTGGGGTCAAAAAGAACATTGTATGGTTCCAGAAAATATCCATACCCCCCCTCCACGGAGGCTCACGGAAATTCCAAGGGGTAGAGGGGTGTAAAAGAGGCATATTTCCGAAGGGGAAGGGGGTACATAAAGAGCTTTTTTTTCCAGAGGGTTTGAAATGCGATCGAATTGTTTGTTTACACGTGACGTCGGCATAAATTAAAAAACTGGGGTCAGCCGTGTTGGGGGATAACCACGCGTTACAATCCGTGTAACTTATAGCTGTCTGAAGTGTATGTTGAAGGTGTTACGCAAATACCTGTCAATGTCACGCGAAAACGTACTCTAACGGCTATCCGTTCGAAGGCGTTTTGCCGTTCACCAGCCGTTCAAAAAGATTTGCATCCCTTCGCACGGCCATGGTTACCCGTGCAAAAGAAAATAGCATCCGTTCGCATGTCTTGGGTTATCCGTTCAAAAAAATATCGCATCCGTTCCCGCGGCTTGGGTTATCCGTTCAAAAAAAATAGCATCCGTTCGCACGGCTTGGGTCATCCGTTCAAAAAAATATAGTATCCGTTCGCACGGCTTGGGTTATCCGTGCAAAAAAAACTTGCATCCGTTCGCACGGCTTGTGTTATCCGTTCAAAAAAATTTGCATCCGTTCGTACTGCTGGTGTTATCCGTTCCAAAAAACTAATAATTATTGGTTCAGCCGGTTACCCCTTGGGAAAAGTAATTAAAATTCAACAGTTCGCACGGCTGGGGTTTCGGTCGTCCGTTCAGAAAAATTCTCAACTGCTGNATACTTTGCGGAAGCCGGTATTGTTTCGTTGGTAAAGACAAAACCAGGTGAGTCTCTGGCTCCTATTGACAAAGCTGCCATAGTGGGCTATGCACTCACCAATTTATCAGAGTCCATGCATTGTACCATTTGATCGAGGTGAACTGACAACCAGTTTGATTCCAGGTACTTCATGTACAATTTTTCATATAAAGGCTGTATTTAAGGCAGTTGTTAGTTTGAACATTTACCGCGTCTAAGAATACGTCTAGAATTTCCACGGTCGCTTTTAGGAGAATTAAATTTTTATTACAGCTCTAAGTAGATCAAAATAAATTAAGTCTCTTTTTTTTAGATTTGGAATTTCCAAAGGGTATGGGGAGCCAAGTGGAAAAAATCATGGAAATTCCAGGGGGTGGGGGAAGTAACGCGAAGCCCTCTGGAACAGAAAATCCAGTGGGGTGGGGGTCAAACTGGAAAAACCCCTCCGTGGGGGTATGGATATTTTCTGGAACCATACATTGTAACTTTGTTACAATCAATGTATCTTTAAGATCCCAAGCAGTTTCATACCAATAATTTACTGCCAGTCCTAGATTCTTCCAGGCATCACTGACCTACATGTACATGACATTGTAGTCTTCTGGTCAGCTAAGAAAGACCCTTGCCCTGGAATGAGGGCTCATGGCTGTTTTCCAGGGCTTTGACTGCTATGAGAGCCATATTTCATATGTGGCCGGCTGGAAATAGTGGTAGCCCCTAGATATCCAAAACTCAGTTGTCTTCCATTATTTTACACAAAGCAGCCATTTAAGTCAGCCCTTAAATAAGTGTCATTCATTGGCCATGCATAAAAATATACTTTTGACTTCATCACACACCACATACACAGCTTTAAAAAAAATTACATTTTCATTTAGTTTTTCATCAATTGCATTGGATGTTGAAAGAGGGAAATCATTAATTTGGCTTCAAAGCAAAGTGTTTTAACTTCTAACTTAACTTTTAAAATCATATCATGCGTTCATGGCATCAGTTGGCCAAACATGTATAATAACTGTATTATAATAATACAGTACAAGACCTGAATACTATACAGCAAAAAAGAGCTAGCTTTGGTACTGTGAATGTAAAATTGGGCTAGTTCAAAGTTCTCCTACAAAGCTTTCTCATCCAAAGATCAGCTCATAACTTTTTTCATTGTCGTTACACCAGACTCAATTAAAATATCAGTTAAACAACTTTTCAGAATTCTTACCATCTTTCCTGGTTCTCACAACCACTACAGGAGAACTCTTTGGTCCATCACCAGCTGAAGTAAAGGTCAACACTTCAAATTCATATTCTGTGTAAACGTCAAGCCCACTGACATCTGTACTTAATGCTGTTCCATTCTTTATAGGCAAGATGGTTGTTGGTCCCTTAGAGCCTCTCTTTTTGTAAAACAGTCTGAATCCTTTAATTATTCCATTTCTGGAGCCTACTGGTGGTAACTGCCAGGATGCTGTGATAATTGTAGAAGTAACTGCACTCACACTGAAGCTGCTTGGGGCTTGTGATGGAGCTGCAATTGAATAAATTTAGTACTAACCGGTTCTGTTAGATGTTACTACCAAACAAAGAACCCTGGCCTTAAAATTTTGTCTGGCTCTCAACCTGTGGCTACATTGTACAGTTGGCAGTAGCATCCATCTGGGTTTCCTGAAAAAAACAGGATCAAGGGTCAACAGATCACCGGATCACCAGATCACTGGATCACTGGATCACCGGATCACCGGATCACCAGAGCACCGGATCACTTCAAAATAAACTAAATACATGAAATAAATTAATAGGCATGATTGATTGCTCATCTACGTGACTCGGTCGAGATTTCTCGTATGCTACAGCGAAAATAAGAGAAAATACTAAATACTGAAAAGCCATACCACTTTGTGGAGGTGTCAATTTTTGCCTATCGACTATTAGGACTGCTATTGAAGACCGACAGCTACATTATCCTGAGTGTCGATAGGTGATTGCGTCTTTGACTTCCGGTTTTGGCGACTGCCAGAGTAAACTGCAAATTTTCAGCTGGTACTTTAACTTCATCTCTTCAAATTAAATTTTTTGCTGACCTCATAGAATGCATCTGAAGAATCACTTGCTTAGCATAAAAGCCTTTTCAGTCGTTTTTCCGACGGGATTTGACAAGAGACATGATTCGGAAAGTGATAAAATTGTATTGTCCCACTGAGTTGTTGTTGTGATTTCCCTGGAGTATACAGGGAGGCAACTGGTCTAAAATCTCGTGATCAAACACTGGAGAATTGAATCAGTTCTTAGTTGTACATGATTTATTTTTCTTTTTAAGAAAGTACATTATGATGACAACTAACGAGGAAGAATTTTTTTTTCTTCTCTCCCCAGTGAGCACAGCAGGCAGAAAAAACAAGAGTTCTTGACCGAGTCAGGTAGATGAGCAATCAATCATGCCTATTACTTTATTTAATGTATTTAATTTAGTTTGAACTGATCCGGTGATCGGTTGATCTGGTGATCCATTGATCTGGCAATCCTTGATCTGGTTTTTCCAGGAAACCCATCCATCTAGGTATCTGGGAGGCATGGGCTCAAATCGTATTAAAGCCTGTATTTTTTCAGGCTTCCTTTCTGCAATTGCTTAAAATTGTAGCACACCAGGAAGGATCATTTCTCTCCTTGATTTAATCTGCGAGTCCAATTCAATTTATTTCATCAAAAAATGTGACAATTCCTTTTTCTCTTTCACCTTCACCTATCACATACCAGCTTCATTTGTTCTCTCCACCTTAACATGACTTTTTGGTCCGATACCATCAGAAGTATACGCCAGGACTTGAAATTCATATTCTGTGTACTCATCAAGCCCAGTGACATTTCTACTTAATGTTGATCCATCTGTTACATTCAAACTTATTACTGGCACACCAGAACTTTTCTTTTTGTAGAACAGTATAAACCCAGTTATGGTCCTTCCATGTCTGGCAAAGACTGGTGGTGACTGCCAGGAAGCCATGATGCTGGTAGGAGAGGTTGCGGTCAACTTGAAATCAGTAGGAGGTTTGGATGGAACTAAAATAAATGTAGCCAGATGTGTGCTTTACTCTTAAGTTGACTTGTTAGTGAAGTTAAGAAAGGAACAAAGACTGAACCATCAATGTGAACTTAGATAACATAAAATATTCATCAGAGCAGTAACTCAGGGATCACAGAGTAGGGATCTTCTACACAATTTAAGATTGGCATTTTGTTAATCTAACATATTATAAATTATATTACCCCAACACATCGTATCATATACCTGGTATAAATCATGATCTCAATTTTGTTCAATTTAACAAAAAGTGAATTGGCAGTATCTCAGAAGAGGAAATGTGACATTTCATTTGCATGCAGCTGTCTGTGGTCATAGTCAAATTCTCTAATGAGCAGCTCTAAAATAATACTAAAAAAACCACTCATCCAACCGGTCTTATGCTCTCGTACGACAGCCTTTCTTGAAATAGCTGTATACAGTCTCCTCCACAGCGACCTATTTGTGTCACAAGGAGGCTTGGGAGAGAGAAAAGAAAGCGCGCTCACACTTTGGAGGGGGACTAGTGGGAAGCTCTGCCGAATAAAGATGGGGCATAAACAGTTACTCCGTGATCCAGAGGTTTAAACACGAATTATAGGTGCACCAAAAATTATAGGTGCTGCATGATTTGTGCGTCCCAATAAAAAAGGCGGCCATGATCGTACTAAGAGCGTGGAAAAATAACTGATTTATAGAGCAAAACAATGGCTGTGTGCAAGTCTTTTAAAAGACATTGGTTAATTTCCTTACTGTCATCTGCAATACATGATGTACAAGATGTATGCCACTAACTGCAGTTTGTCTTGCGAAAAAAAATTACATTCCAAAACTCAAATGGGAAATGGTTTTTGAGCGCATGCATTTTAACAAAAGCTTAATTGACTTTCTTTCCTTTCATTTGTAAAAAAGGCCAGATTTTTACGAGGGGTAAAACTGAGCTCTCCAATTTGAGTGGATGGAGAGGGAACTACTCTCACCCTAAGAGAGTAGCGTGGTAACATTTTTGTTTCAACTTATTTTTCTTCCAAGGATCTTCCAGGGTTTTCCCAAAAACATTATTTTCTCTATAGGAAAAATGAGGCAAAACAACAGTATGACCCTGCTCGACGGTATTACACCTTGTGAGAACTGGCGAGATGCAAGTACTCTTTTGCCCATTATCCAAAGACACTTACAACCAGGCTCTTTGGTTTATACTGATGAATGGGCGGCATACAGGCAAATGCAAAGGGTCTTGGGTTTTAATCATCAAACGGTTAATCATTCGGTTAACTATGTAGACCCAACCACTGGTGTCCATGCATACACAACATGCAGAGAGCAACTGGTCTGCAGCAAAGGACAAATTTAAGAAGATGAAAGGAAACACATATCTTAACTTTCTGCAAGAATACCTTAAGGAATTCATGCGGAGAAGGTGGCATGGTGAGCCTCACCCAAATGGCTGTTTTGGATGGTTGATAGAGGACATTCCAGAACAATATCCACTTTAAATACTCAGAGGTGGGGGAAAAGGGTACTCTCGTACACATGTATGTGAACATGTATTCCATACACGTGTATGGTTTGGATGGTTATCATTTTTGCCTCTGTTGGTATTGTGTTTCCAGTTTGATCTTTAAATAGGATATATAAATTGTATCAGCTGAAATTGCAGTGCGTAAATGCCTAGCTAAAACAAAAAGCAAATTCCGCTAAAATTGTAAACAAAGTGATTTAATCGAGATATGTGTTTTGCTGCACGCGATTAGCCGTTGTTTGGTCACTGTTTTCCTTGAATAGGGTGTCATAGATTTAGCCTTTTGCTAAACAAGCTGATGCTTTCAAAGTATTGAATTTCCTGGCTTAGCGTGTTGAAAAACTTAGGACCTAGCTTGGAACCGGATGGAAAATTTTCGAAAATTAGTTTGACAATGGGGTATGCAGAAAAAGCTGGAATTTCTTGTATTATAAGAATGTATCCAGCTAGCAAGAGTAAACATATCATGAAAATAATTAGGAAGTAAGCCTCTTTTAACAGATACATAAATTTACCTATTTGGTAGAAATAGATGTCCGAGAATTTTGAGATCCCATGTTCTTTGAAAAGAACATCGGTATGTGAATCAAAAGAAACTTTAGATATGATTCTGATTATTTTTTTTTTTGCAGAATAATAATATGATTTAGATTAGACTGATATGTCGATCCCCAAACTGAAACACAATAAGTTAAGTAAGGGTAAACTAAACTATTTATAATATAAGGAGCGCAAGGAAGTTTCGGAAAGGCAAAAAATGTTTCGGTCAGAGACCTTCTTCATTTATTTACAACTTTTGAATAAAAAGGAGCTTTTAATAAGATCGAAGTGCTAGTGATTGGCGACTGCGTTCATAATATCCTTGCTTAAACAATAGCATGTACCTGACACACTTAGTCCACATGACATCATTCTTCTCTTAACTGTTCTGCAACTTACTCCAAGCATAGTAGCAATCTCTTGCTTATTACGTACGAGGGTCGTCCACATCTACCATCTTGTTGTGCGCTAGCGCTATAACCTAAATAAGACTTCTCAGTTCTTTCGATTTCTACCAGCAAACTATGAGCTCTTCCCATGGTTTCTGTTATGAAACCATCGATGTCTAGATTTACCAACATCCTTTGCAAAACATCTACTTTACCAACAAGAAGCTGAACATTTCCATGACTGTTATGTACGCCTTGAAAATTATTTAAAAAATGTCTAGGATATTATGAACACAGTCAAGCAATATGAGATATCATCCATTTTTCATCTCACAAGATAACCTCGTACGAAGTTATGAGGCTTACATGAGGTACTTGACCTTAGTTTGACCTTAGTGAGCCTGCGCTCCTTCATTAATAGCTGGGTTGCGGTTGGATGATGGAAAGTTGAATGTTGAATAGCGCGAAGTACTGCATGTTGAATATATCAATACCATAGGTACAAAAATATTGCATTACCACAACTACAAAGTGGAATTACGAGAAGTACAATGTTAAATACTTGAAACTTGGAAGTTTAATTGTAAAAAAGACAAGGTTGAATCGGAAAAAGTTTCATAAGGAATAAAAACTTGAATGTCCAATCACGAAATAAGGAAGAATACTAAAAGTACAATGTCAAATCAGAATGTTGAATTTTGGCCCCGATGGGACGCCATATTTAATAGCTGTTTCAATGATCACGTCATGCTCTACCACATTCTGGCCAGAGTTGAGTTCCAGTTTATATATCTTGTCCATCTTATTTTATCAGTTGCATGACAAGCGTGACATAAATTCAAAGATGGATCAACCTCCGAAACACCAAGAGGTTGTTTTTTTCCTCTTTGCATATCTAGAAAAACCTTAGGGGAATTTCTGTATTCAGAAAACTAAAATGTCCAGATTCATCAATGATTCCTTTGCTGGCATAAGTCAAAGAATGTTTGCAAAAGTCAATTTGATTGACAAGCTACACACTAATTCAGCGTGTTGATCTGTTTTATAAGCGTCTCATCTTACATGCTAACATGGAGATTTGCTGTTCATTTAAATCGTTCGCTGGTGGAACTTGTGGGTTTAGATATCGAGAAGACCAAAATTGTAAATCTCAAGTCGTTCCCTTGTGTAGTTGTAAAAAAAAGCATTTCAAGCCACTTGCGGAGTTACAAGTTTTTAGATCCAGAAAATAAAGTTGACCTGATTTTGTCACGAGTTGGCATCTTCAAGACGCCGAGAGATATCGATGATTTGACAATTTGCCCCACCACTCATAGATCAAAACTCGGTGTTGGGTGGAGTCGTGGTTTCAATAATAGATGTAGTCAGTGCCAAAAGAAGTGTCCGGCCATGGTGAAGGCAGGGTCACGTCCATTCCAAAAGGCGATAGGGGAATTGGCAAGCGTGTTTCACGGATAATACTCAAGGTATCTGGAAAATTCATACAACCTGGCTCCGATAAGTAGGCTACTTACCACAGTGTGCAAAATTAGTTTCCTTAATAATTTGACATTTAGTTGAGAGGGTGTTCGAGTTTGGAGAGCGTGCAACATGTGTAAAGCTGGCAAATGGTTACCTTGGAGTGACCTTGACATTCCTACTTGTTACCAATTGCCCACGCTTAACAAAGCCACACCCACACACTGTTCTAAAGTATCATTCACTGACATTACCATAAGACGACGAGTTTCAGCTAAAAGCAATTATTAGTCACCTAGTGATCAGATAACTGACACACCAGAGGAAACAGATTCCAACTCAGAGTAGCAGAGCTTGTTCTTTTGTACAGAGGAGAGCTGTATTAAGTCGTACCAAAGACTTTCATCCCTTCAGAACCACCTCGATTGCGGTAACCGCCAATATGTTCTAGAGCGTGAAACCCTTTACGACAAGGCTATGTTAAAATATACAGCTCAACTTGAAGAAGGTGCATCGACTAATGTCCCTTATGTCTCTGATAAAGCTGGTAACCTTGAACGAGGTGAACCCTCATTAAAAATCGGATGGGCCCTTAACAGTTCCAAATATCACAAGCAACTATCCAGAATACAGAAAGACTACTTGCTTGACATTTATAACACCGGTAATCAAACTGGTCACAGGGTGGATCCTGTATCTGTGTCGAAATCTATGCAAAAGGCAAGACTCCCAAGTAGCGAACCAACTTTTAAAGTAGGCGAATACCTGACATCTCAGCAAATAGCAAGCTTCTTTTCGTGGGAGACAGCAAAGAAAAAAGCCACTCAAGATATCGAAACTGGAACCCAGAAAGACCAACAGGCTGTGGAAAGAGAAAAGGTCCTGCAAGATCTTCAAAAGGTCGTCAGGGATTCCATATCCATCTTTCATCCAATCATGCACAGCAGTTACAACCTCTGTGGTTATGCCTCCAACAAGAAATTGGACAAACTCTCCATCTTTGTCCTTCTAGATATCTGTTCATCCCTTCAGCTTGACATCTCCAATATTAAAGCAATGCGTAAATCCTGAGTCTTGTTTTATTTGTACATAATTGTTTCGCTGGTATTCCGATGCAAAAAATACTAACAGATAGTGCAAAGAAGTTAAGGTACCGCGTTCACACGCAAGAAAATTTAGCCTGTAAAAACAAGTATGATGTCCTTTTCTGTCTTTTTCTATGCAGATATGAGTGTCTTATAATGTTTACATTATTCAGGTACAAAAGGTCGTCCAGAATGAATATTTCGTTGTGAAATGAAAACCCCAATAAACTTATTAAAAAATTACTTGTTTTGAATAAATTCTACCTTGATATCATGTGGTAACCGGGATTAACTCGTTCTAGAACAAAACTCATTCCGATATCATGTAACATTTTATTCCCAGAGCATCACACTTTGCTCTCCTGTCTGTATACTATAAATTTCAATAGCGTTGAAGCAACAACCCGCTTTTAACTGCTTTGCTACCACTGAAATAACGATTAGTGACCTCAAAAAGCCCACATTCTAATATTTTCAATTCAACATAAACAAAAATCTTATATTCATTTGTGTCGGTATCAATCATTGCGTGACAAGCTTATAATAGAAATGGGAGAGGGGAGAACACAATGCAAAACCTGGGCTTCTGCTGGAAAAAGTAATACCCAGATGTAATATAATAATCAAAACAGCTAATAAAATCATAATAAAACAAGGTAAGAATGTTGTGTCAGATTTTTTTTTACAAATTTTAGTGATTTATGTCAGTAGAAGGTGGCGACAAGTAGGCACACCATGTATACTTCATGATCACTAGCAAGTAAATTTTGCGCAATTTTAAGTTTGTCTCAAGATAGAACAAGATAGAACAACACAAATACACAAGCAAATTTTTACAGTAACTTCATAACCATCCTTTTGTCTTTTAAGAGCTAGAAGCTCATTAGATTCTTTCATATCAGTCATTGTTAAAACTGTCTTTGTTTTGATGCTACTTTTCGACATAGAAAAAGTATGTCAGACAAAAATATTCACCAAAAAATAAATATTTCTTTGCCAGCTTCAATAATAATAGAGGATTAAGTTTAGATGATAAAGCAAAGGATTATGTTAACAGAAATACCGGAGGTCAAGTGTATTCGTTACACGAGGTCACGCAACTCGGGTAATATTCACGGTGAAAATTTGCATATTCGAGCGGTTGGACGAAAAGTCATTTAACGAGAACTAAAATATATTTTCACAAAAAAAGCTACACCACAATTATCAGGAAATATTGGGCTACAAAATATGAAAGTAGGAGAGAAAACGAATTTTGGGCGACTTGCCTCTATATTTCAAATTTGTTCGATGGATGCTGACATCCTCTCTTATGGTACTTTCAATATATGTCCTTTGCATGGACAGTCTGTCCTCCATAAAAAAAAAGAACTGTATCCCACCATGAACTCTACTATAAAATCAAGAATTCTGATTCAAACTACATTCATGATTCTCACTTCTCAATGTACTTGTAGGGTGTACTCATCAAAACCAACATGTGAATACTACTGTTTTCCATACGTTATTTGTATTAAATTTAGGGATTTTTATAGTACATACATGTTTAGGTTCAAAACTTTTGAGAGTCATATCTTTTATCTTTGCCTGAAGATCTTTAAGGTTCATTTTCTATAATAAGAATCTGTTTCAAATTTAGCTAAATAGCTTCTTATGTAAAGGGGGTCTAAATTAATATTTTTAGGCTAACAGGTTCTTAAATTCTGGGTTCTTATAAGCGGGTAAGTTCTGTATTTCGAATAGGTGGGCACTGAGGAGTTCCCTATTAAGGATGCCAAACAACAATTGATACCGTCATTTAGGCCCAAACCTCCCAAAAAGACGCCCTATTCTACGTAAAATAATAATAATAAACAAACAAACAGACAACGGCTGACCTCGCACTGCAAAAAGAAGTCGTTATAAAATCGCTTTGCTTATGAGTTTAACGACCTAGTTCACTTTTAAAAGATCATTTGCTTTTAGTTTAGCTGGCCCGCAATTTTAGCTGGTACGATTTAGGTCAATCCTATTACCCACTTAAACTAGACTAATATCAGCAACATTGTACAAGGAATATAACGTTGAGAATCTGTTAGAGCTATTAGAACTATGGAATAACTAAAATTAAGGAGAAAGTATAAGCCAGGTAGTTTTAGGAATAATGGGAATATGTTAAGGTACAACATTAATTACAATAGAGCAACCAACTTACAATGAATTTTTCCCTTACCAAATCAGAATATCGAAAAAACCTCGTACTCTTTGTTAGCCTATTTCGTCTGAGTGATATAGTCAGTAAGTGAAGCAATACTAAGCCGATACTTGACCGATACTTGACTGATACTTGACGGATACTTGACCGATGCTTGACCGACACTTGACCGACACTTGACCGACACTTGACCGACACTTGACCGACACTTGACCGACACTTGACCGACACTTGACCAGCAGTCCACTGCTACGTATCGGTCGACATATCGGTCAACAGTCGACCAATATATCGGTCAACTATCGATCGTTTATCGGTCGACTATCCGTCGACTATCGGTCGACTATCGGTCGACTATCGACCGATAGCCAATCGACCGTCGAACGATAGTCAACTGATATATGTCGACCGAGTCCACCTGTAGAACACATGATCCATCAATCCTTCTATTCTAAGGGAGCCATAATTATGAATTTTAAAACTTTTCTTTGTTAATGGGTCTCATTACAACAGCCACTAGATATCTCATTAGAATTAACTAATTATTTTTTTCTGCAAAAATTAAGAGTTTTGGATGTGGCCTAAAAGCAGATGCGGCCTATCCACAGTAAAAGGTGTGGTTTTTTCAAAACAATTCTCACTCTACCAGGGCTCTAAAATAATACCCCCATCTTGCCCTCCACAAGTAAAAAGAAAATAAATACCTTTAGTTAGAAGTACTCCATAAACTTCCACTCTAAGAACCTTCCAACTATTAAACATCATTGGCCAAAAGCGGATAAACTTTGCACTTGCAAATTCCTGCAGACTGTTTGTTTTTACGGTATTTTGATCTGAGTTTCCAGTGAAGACCTGTAGTTTGTTGTTCAAAATGAGACATTCTTTCATCAAAATTTTCTCATTTAAAAATACTGAGTTAATTATTAACAACTACAAATAGCAGCTCTTTTAAATACAGCAACTTTATGCTTGCAAATAGCCAAATGAATAAACCATGGACCATTAAGTTCTGTATAAATTTATGTACCTCAATTATGTCTATCATTATGTCTTTGAAGCTGACATTGTCAAGCATCATTTGAAATCACACTTGCAGCCAAGAAAACTAATCTAGTCTACCTTGGTGAGGAGTTGTTTCCTGGTTGCATTACTCTTGCAGTTCCTTAATTCTTAATAAGCTGTTCATTTTACCTACAAACTCACACATACTGGTAACCCAAACTATGTAGAAAACATTGGTCTCAGTGGGTATAAGACTAACAATATGAAACCCCGATTCCCAGAGAAACCAAGGATCAATAAACCAGTTAGCCAGGCACCTACATGTACACTGGATGTATCCAAAGCTCTAACATACCACTGATGCAGAAATCCCAAGGACTTAAAACCCATGCAGTATTCCAAATGTAAAGTATTCTTTCAGTTTTAATATTCTGAAGCATGTCTCAATAACTACAACATCCAAAATAATGCCAAGACGACACCCAAGTAATTACTGAAGGCAGGAACCAAAATCAATACATCACACCACTATCCGAAAGACCCAGAAACCCAGAATTCCACAAGGCCAAGAACCCACAGACCCAGAAATCTAGAAACCTTAATGCTCCCAAAATCTGATGCCTAAAACCTAGAGGCTCAATAACCCACCTAGCCTGAAGCCAAGTATCCCACAGGCCCCCAAACCCACAGGTCCAGGTGCATAGTTACTCTAAAACCAACAGACCCATGGTATCCCAACAGCCTACAGACCCAAGAGCCCAGAAGCACATTACACTTGTGCCCACAAAATTCCTTTAATTATAGACCTATAAATAACCAAAAAATGCCAAAAAAGAGCTCCCTGAGACACAAGACTTTGTTGCAATTGCATTAAATTTCAGATGTTGATATACAGAGAGTGAGCCAAAAGATCAAAGCCATTATAACTTTGTGCCATGAACAGAGATTTGTGTCTAAAAAATCCAGTAACAGACTGGTTCAGTTTCTTGTGTAGTAAAGGGATTTTTTAGTGAAGTATTGCACACAAATTAATACTTAACATTATTAACAATGATCAAAAGAAAAATACTTTAAGGGATACATGATACAAAAGAATTCCACTACACTAGGATAATTACATCAATCATTTTGGCTGGTTCAACTTAGGGGCAAGCAACTTGAACCAACAAGCACATAAAAATAAACTGGCATTCCTGTGTTCTAGGTACGATATACATCTGTGTGTTATATCCCCAGTGTACTGTAATGGTGCAGATGAATTGGACTTATACTAACAATTTCAGGAAGCTTAAAGTGAACTATAATATAAAATGTAGGTATACATGTACCAAGTACACATATTTGTGTTTCTACTAAATGGAAAGTGCATGTTTGGGTGACAGTTTATAATTTTCTAGCAGGAGAATTGAGGCTTAATCTTGACCAAGTGGACACTTTTGTGTCCCTCCTCTTGACTAAAACAAATTGAACAAGTGCTCTTGGTCTTTTCCTGTTTTCTCAGTAGGTCCACTTAAACATTTAAACAATATAAGAAACATGTATGCACTATGATAAGTACATAGGATTGTGTTTTTCCTCGAATGAACAATGCATGTTCCAGAAACAGTTTGTAATTCACTTGAAAGAGAATTGAGGCACATGGAGTCTCGACCAAGAACACACTTCTTATGTGTTTTTGCATGCTCTTGACTCAAAAAATTGAGTCAGCTGGCTGGAGTTTTATGACGTACTTTTGGCTTTTAGGTAACTATATAGTGCACATAGTCCTCATATAAACTTACCCTGTCAACATTGTCTTCTTGGTAGGTGACAAAACTGCTACCATTCAATGACAACTGGATCTTGTAGTTTTTTGTCCACTCATTAATACCATTAGCTCCTTGAGTAGCTACTGCACAGATAATATACTCATACAGCAGATCAATTTGTAGGTAGTCACCAGCTACATTTCTATCTTTGGGTCCCCATCCCCGATCACCTCCATTAAGACGCCCTTTAGAGGGTATATATCGATTATGCGCAACATGTGTTGAGGCTGTGAAGCTGCTGTCTGGAATTTTACCACCATAGGCCAGACCAATGGCCTCCATTTTGCAAGCTGTAAGATAAATCTTAAATCAGCCCTTGCATTTTTTCACAAATTAAAATCATAATAGAAATGATCAATTAAATGATTCCTACAAGGATCTGCTGATCAAATATCACTTCACCTTAGTTGGTATTTTCACCCAATACTATGTAATAGGGCCATTAATGTGTATTTTATTTCACAAATAGTACAATTGATCCACAAATCGAAAATGCCCAGATTTCATAAATTTAAAGATATTTTCAAGTTCTGGGCTCCAACAATTAATTTGAATTCTAAGCGCCCTAGAATTTCCTATCAGCTATTCTCCTTTAACATGAATTAAGTTTCCTGGGTGAATTTTGAGACAATACAAAAATGAAAATCATTAGAATAATAGGCTATCATGAGTGGCTTGATGTCTTTGATGAGTGCATAAGCAGTAGTTTCTACAATTTTAATATTAAATAATCCAAAAAGCAAGCATATATCATCAAAATCAGCAGCTAGAATCTTAGACTATTATACCTTAAACCAGCAATAATAGTAATAATTATTATAATAATAGTGGTCAGATAACAGCAAACATGCAAGATTAGATTGAAGTCTCAAACTCACTTTGCTTTTGTTTCACTCCAAACACCTCTGTTCTCATACACACCTCACCCTGGTGTGTTTGTGGCAGGAATCGCAGATATCTTGCTAACACTCCATAAACAACATGCTTCACTTCTGAGTTCCTGTCATCATTTCCTCTGAGAAACTTCAATAAAACAAACAGTCACAAAAAATCATCAGCAAAATTTTTCAGCAAGTTGAGAAAATAGCTGGAATAAAAATATTAAAAGTGTACATGTAGAGCATTAAGATCAATAATTCTTAGCAAAAATTGATGTTTTGAAATGTATGTTGTAGTTTTTTTTTTCCATTCATGTCTCACATTTTAATTCCTATATATACCTTCACTTGTCCACCTTCCTTGTAGTTTGTCCAAGTTGTTCCATTTATGGAAAATTTTAGTGTGTAATTCTTCACCCACTGATCTGCTTTAGAATTCCCTTGAGTGGACACAGCACAGATGATATGAAGTGTCTGTAGATCAATCTGTAGATATGGGTTAGTGTCACTTATTCCTGCACACCATGACGGTCCTGATGTGTAGTTCAGTCGACCATTCTTGGCTGGTGTGTTGGCACTTCGTACAGAAGAAGCAGTTATATTACTGTTTGGAATTGTTCCCCTTCCCATTCCAAGATCTAAATCAACACAAGCTCCTGTAAAAATAAAATTACATTTGCATTATAACATATTCATAATAATTTTATATCGCAAAAGGGATATTAAATGGGTTGGCTGACTGAGATGTTATTATATATGTCTTACATGTCTCTATTAGTTACCTTTACTATAATGTCCATGTCACAGATAGTAAAAGTTAGTGCCAGTCTGCATCAAAAATAATTTACCAATTTTGTGACAAATTAAGAAGAACTCTCAGTCCTTATTAAGCTTAATACACCACATCATAGATTTCAAATGAAATAATGCTCACCTGAAGCCAGAGGAAGAAGTACAGCGAGAAAAGCTACCCGGAAACAAAGCTCGAGACTATATTGCGCCATCAATCGATTGAGCGTGTCACGGTATGCGATCACGATTGTTTTGATTAACCGGCACTTTGTAAAAAAACGCTCATTCGACAAAATATATCTTTGATTCCTCACTATTCAAGGTCGTGTTTGTATAACTTGTAGCAATATTGTCCGCGGTTCGTGCAAAACAATCACAATCTTCGTTGGTCGAGTCTTATCGTCCCGTGACAGCATGACATTAAAAAGGAATTTGCTGAAGCTTCCCAGCGTGCTCTGCGCTGTAGCTCATGTTTCAGCATATTTTAATTCAGCTAATTTCTGTTTGGTTTCGTAAATAGTTTGTTTAATATGAGCCCCAAGAAGTTCTCTCTAAAGGCAGTCAGAACACATTCTCATTCCCATGTAAAGATCAAAGGCAAAAGAATTCAAGCCAGCTAAATCATTATAATTGACTTAAAAATTACATCATACATAAATAAAACCGCTCGACTAAAGCGGAATCAGGATTCTTGACTGTTGCGTAATACTGATAAAATACGAATGTACTTTTTTAAAACAGGCTTGGGTTCACAGTCAATAGTTAGGGTGGAGGAAAAAAAATTGTCTTTGTGCGAAAGCTGCCGAAAAATCTAAGAGGGTCTGGATGGGGTTAACTGACAATTGACAAATGGCCAAAATTTTAACTGACAACTGACAAATCGCTGAAAAACTAACTGACAACTGACATTTGTGGTGGGCTTTTACTGACATCTGACAAAAGCCCGGATCGCCCTAAATATCCTAAAAACTGGTTGTAAAATAAGGACAGTTGATTTATTTTGTTCAATGAAAGTACACTTTCTATTACATATCAGTAGAAATACGCCAGACTGTCCTATTTCGTTAATAATTACCGCATGTGCCATCCACATCAAGGTCATGTGTCACATATCAGTTATATGATGTTTTGCACGAAATTATTTCAAGTCACGTAATATCCCTGGGGACATTTCTCTATAGAAATGAACATGCGTTTCGAAAATCATAACGGGAACACAAGGTTTAAGAAAGGGAGAGGAATACAGAATTGTAACTACAATTAGCTCAAGAACATCAAGGCACAGTGCCTGAAAAATGATTAGTGTAATTTGTTTATTTCAGTTTGACTTCACATGCTCATAAGAAAGGATTGCAGAAATAAAATTCCAAAATTTCCCGAGCTGTTATAGTCCGAATACAAGTTCAATACATATGATCTTTGATACCCATAGCGATTGCCGTGAGTGCTGGTATTTTAAGAGCTGTTGTAAGCATGTACCTAACTGAGCCGGAAACGGCATTTGAGCGTCATAGATGCCGCATTCCTATCAAGGATGTTAAAACCGTACTGGCGCTGAAAAAGCACCTTACTTTGTTCCTTGGTCTAAAGAAGTTGTCTAGTAAATATTGCCTCGGAGATTTTGATGTGAAACCTCCGAAATCAGGCGGCAAAAGCGATAATTTTGCGTTAACTACGGACGAGCAATAGAATTTGGAGCTTCCGACCATGCTGGCTGGAAAGGAAGCGAATTAAACAGTATGTATTGGAGTAGTTTAGTACTGGTATAAATATATCAGTTAATAGCCTACTCTTTATTATAAAACGCCCATTAGATGCCGACTTATAAGCCCCGTCAGAATTTTCTCATTCTTGAATTCATGTTGATTATGTTTTAAGTAGATTATAATGACATAGCTAAAGTGACTGTGAAAAAGTTAAATCTTAAAGAGTCGCAGTGATGCGACTGACTGGTCCTATTTCATGATGTTTTTCTGCTGGGCATATTCTGGTTTCGTGTGATGTTAGAGAGGTTCTTAGCTGGCTCGAATTACATTGTGCAGCATTTGTTACGCACCTCATGGCTTCACAGTAATAGTCGCAGAGATATACCATTTTGTTCTTATCGCCTCCTAGAGAGGCCGCCAGTATATTTCGAGAATCGAAAATCAGTGACGAAAACTCGAATTTTTTTTATTTTGCCAAAACATCCCTTTCTGTGAACTAGTTTCTAGCGATTTTTTTTTTTCGGCTGAAATTTAAAAAAGTTTGAAAATTCGTTAAAAGGCCGTTTTCGCCTTGCCTAAACGGTCAAATCGTCACGTAACTTTAGGAACTGACATTGGCAGCGCTAAGTAAGTCTATTCACCATCAAACTTTGCAAAATGATTACAGTATCATTGCAAAATAAAAGCATATCAAAATTTTTCTGTAGTTCTCTTTTGTATGATTTTTATCGCCGTTTTTATAGAGGTGTATTTTGCACGATGTTTTG